GAAGCGGAATGACAGCTGAGTTGGGGGTTGTGGGTAAGTCACCTGGAGCTGCGGCCAGGGTCAGGAGAGGTCCAGGTGCCCGTCAGGCCTGCCTGGGACAGGAGAAGCTAGTAGTCACCGGATCCTGTAGAAGCCTTGTGAGAGCCAGACAATGGCAGGACTCCATCCTGTGTGAGGCCTCCAGGAGGATCTGGCTCCCGTTATCACAGCTCTTCAACATCCTCAGAGTGAAGGGAAGTGCAGACCTGCCTCCAAGAGCAGAATTGAGCCAATCTGGCTTATCACACTAGCTGCCACGTCCTGAGGACTCGTGTCAAGTGCTTTGCTAAGCTTTTTTACACACATTTCCTCAATCCCTAAAAATCCCAGCGAAATACAAACCAGCATCACTTCTAATGTATAGTTCTAGAAATGAACACGCAGAAAGACTAATTTTAGCTTCCTCCATGCCCTCACAGCTGCTAAGTGGCAGGGTCAGGATTCAAACCCACATCTGTGACTCCAAAACTCAGAGGAGTGCTTACCACAAAGCTAATGAAGCATAAACCTCAAGGCCCCCATTTGCGCAGGTCCCTTCGAGGCACTTGGGAGGGCCTTAACAGCGTATTCAAACGGTCATATGTTATTTAAAATTTTACAAAACTAAAGAAAACCTTAATAGCTGGTTTCCTTAGTCAGTTAAAACTACCATTTCTTGCTACCGTTCTTCTCTCCCTCAAACTTGCCCCGGTGTTGGGTGGAGCTAGGCAGTTTGGAAAGCTGGCTGAGAGGAATTTGAGCTGGGTAAATATGAGATATTGAGTTTGGGTTTGGTGAGATACACTGATGTAGCTCACACTCACTTCTGTGATCGTTAAGTATTGCAGGCTGTCTCTCTGAAGGAATGGCTTCCAGGAATATTCCTGCTGTCCCCAGTGCCCACTCACCTGGCCTTGTGACTCGAACACACAGGGCCAGAGGCTGGACTGCAAACGTGAATGTGGTGTCTGTCTTCAGCACAGGAGGTATGTGGGAAATGGAGAAGAAACAAGAAACTTTCAAAAAAAAAGAAAACACCCCAAAACTATTAGTAATCAAAACTAATCTGTATCTTTCTATTCCCTTTCTAGACAATGATATCACAAAACTGTTACCATATGAAGAGGCAATCAGAGAATAAGCAGCCAAATAATACAGGAAAAAAAATAGATGTATCAGGCAGTTAATTAATTATAATAGTGTGTTATTTTTCCGGAATTTTGCTACGGTCTGCAATATATATCAGCTTTTAAAACTTTGTAAATTGTGGGAGCTTCTTTTCTCATTCTTTTTTTTCCCAAGATTTTATTTATTTATTTGAGATAGAGAAAGAGAGAGCAGGAGCATCAGAGGGAGGGGGAAAAGCAGGCTCCCCGTGGGGCAGGGACTTGATCCCGGGACCCTGGAATCATGACCTGAGCTGAAGGCAGACACTTAACCGACTGAGCCACCCAGGTGCCCCTCTTCTTTTCTCATTCTAAATAGTTACTTTGGTAGCTAACATTTTGATTATAATCTTCTTAAGGAGAAACCCCCAAACCTGGAACTGACGCTGCTCAAACTCATGCTCTTAGCAACAGTGGTATTCTGCCCCCTCCTCCGGTAGGTTCACCAGTTCTGTGTGGATGGAGAAATGGGACTCTGAGGTCTGGAAAAGCCCCAGCTTCCTGCACTTTAGAAAGTGCTACAGGCGTCCTCTAAGGGACACGGGAGGCCGCCAGCATCCTCCAGCCTAGGGTGCAAGAGCACACAAAGCCCTGGCCTGCCCTGGGACACATCCAATGTTTTCAGAGGCCAGAAGAGGGGGTGCGGAAACTTACAAATCGCCTCGCTTTTTGCAATGTGCAGTAGCTTTCCGTCCAGCCGCAAATGGAATTTGCCGGTGAGACTTCACTGGCTTTCTCAGGGCTTTTTTGGGCGCTCTCTCAGGAGCAAGGATGCAGGTGTGAGCAGCTGGGAGCGAGTGCAACTGCTGTACATAGGGTCTGTTCTGCCGCCCTGGGGGCTCGGGGGCAGGGAGCACAGAAATAGGGCTGAAGGCAGGTGGCCGCTGGTGCCCTTGGAGTCAGGGGTGGGGCTGACTGCGTCCTCCGAGCTCTCCCAGCCCACAGCACCCTTCGTTCCGGCCAAGGCCATTCCAGCAGCTGCAGGGCGGGAGCCGGCCTTTCCTTCAAGAACTTGTCCTCTTTGTGGTTTTCACTTCTCCACCTGGTGTCTGGACTGCAGATTACAGGAGGGGACGCTGCATCGGTTCTCCGCACGGAACAAAGGGACTGCGGCCGACTGCCGCTCCCGGGGCGCCCCGCCCCCCGCTCCCCTGGCAGCCAAGCAGCGCCCGAGCTGGTCACAGTCGTGGAGGACGCCTCACCGGCCGGCCCACGAGAAGCTGCTTGGCGTGGGGAGCACCACCCTCCTCCTGCCGGCCCACGAGAGGCTGCGGTGGCGTGGGGAGAGCCACCCTTGCCGACTCCAGGGTTAGAGAAAATTATTGTACAGACAGAGCAGGTCTCATTTGGAATTCTAGTAAGCAGAGAGCCTGAGGAGGGAGACTCACAGGTCTAAGAACAGCATAACACAAGCCTCAAAGGCTGGCGAGCCTGCCCTGGGGTATCCTCGAGAGTTATCTGTCTGTTTCTGGCTTAGGAGGGCTGGGCCCAAGGGTTATTCCCCAATCTGTCTCTCTTTATGTCCCCCTCTGAATGAATAGCACACACAAGAGTGAACACATCCAAGATAGCCCTGCTATTCTGCCATGTGACCACAGGCAAATTCAATCCCATTCTGCACACAATACACACATACCATACAATCCCATACACAATATACATACACAATAGCATAAGTGGCATTTGGGCTAATGTTCTGGGCTGAACTGTGTCCTTATGTAGAAATTCTTATGTTGAAGTCCTAACCCCCAGTACCTCAGACTGTGACTGCCTGTGGAGATACGGTCTCTGGAGAGGTAATTAGTCTAAAATGATGTTATTAGGATGGGTCCTAATCCAAGGGCCCTTATTCAAAAAGGAGATTAAGACACAGACATCTGCCAAGTGAAGACCATGGGACACCATGGAGAGAAAAAGACCATCTAGAACCAAGGAGGAAGGCCTCCAAAGACATGAACCCTTTTTCCATCTTGATATTGGACTTCTAGCCTCTAGAATTGTAACAAAATAAGCCCGAGCCAGTCTGTGGTACTTTGTTAGGGCAGCCCTAGCAAATTAATATAGATAATAATAGCACCTTCGCTGTCTCAGACATCACTGTGCAGGAAAAGATATTCCTTCAAGACTAATGTTGCCTTGTGTTAACATACTGATTGCTGGGAATTTCACATTTGGCATTTTGCCCCCACTGGTCTAGGCCAGGCTTGAGGATGCTTCTGTCAGATCTCACAATGATCCTTGGGGAAACTCATCGGCACCTTCAGTATCTTTTGGTGAGTTCCCATGCTTGCCATAACCCCTGATACTATTAGGTTTCTTTAGCCTGTGGAATCCTCTATTCCTCTTCATGTGAGAGTCTTATCATAAAACAGGAAAGAAAGAAAAAGGGGGCAAATGGTAAATTTTCTTGAGTAATCAATTGGTTCTAAATCAGGTGGGCTGGGGCTGGAGAAAGGGGGAAGACCAATATGATGTGATGGGCTGGCTATCTCCAGTCTGGTGGGGAGAAGGGAAAGGGAGAACAAAGTTGCTAGAGCAAAAAGAGAGGATCTAACCTTGGAAGAGAGAACCTGGGAAGAAGTGTGAGCAGGCCCCAGAAGAAGGAACAGCCTGCAAGAGGGAAGCGAGTGCACAATGTCTAGGGGAGTGCTGTCCAACAGAACCTCTGGTGATGATAAAATGGTCTATATCTGTGCTGTCCAATAAGGTAGCCACTAGCCCACCATATGTGGCAACTGAGCATCTTGAAATGTGGTTAGGTATGACTGAGCAATGGAGTTCTTAACTTAGTTGTAGTTATTTTAGGTGTAACTATAAATAGCTGAGTATGGCAAGAGTGTTACATAGAACGGTTCTGGAAGTCATGGCCCACCATTGCTTGCCTACTCAATGGCTACCTTCCTTTACTCTTGCTCATTAAATTCAGTTTTATTCAGGTAGTCAGAAGCCATGTGTTTTAGGGGAGAGAGAACTCCTTCTGAGCTCTCTAGAGGGAGGGGAATGTTATCAGTCTAAGCCAGAAATGATCATTACATTCCCCTTGAGAGTGATTGGTTGAGGAATAGGCAAATAATGCAAGTCCCGCTAGTGAGATGTAACAGGAAGTCTGCCAGAGGATTCTGAGAATGTCCTCCAAAAAGGGTCCTAAAGAGGGCATAGTCTGTCTTCTGGTTCTTATATTTTTGTGCGAATATCTGATGCTTCAACTTGCTGGAACTCTCTCATGCCCCTGAGGGGACAAAGGCAAGTCTGCTGAGGATGGCCGATGTGAAAGGTGGAAGGAACCTGGGTCTTCAGTGACGTTGACTGGCTATGTCATAACCAACCTTGGAATTGTCTTCGTTATAGGGAATAACAATTCCCTTTATTCCTACGGATATTTGAAGCTGGGGGTTCGGTGACCTGCAGTGAGAGGTATTCCTCTGGGATTAGTCCGTGTTTCTGCCTTTGATAGCAGTGCTACGAAACACAGCATTTTTTCTCATCATTCTTCTCAGACGACCATTCCAAGCAGCCACCATCAGACAAGTGAGTTAATAGGCTAGATAAAAATCTGTTTGCTATTCCTGTTCTAGAGCAAAAGAACACAGACACGTGCTCTGCCCCCAGCTCCCCCACGAACACTTTCTTCCCAATGGTCCTGGCTAACAATCAGAAAGTGTTCCTGTAACATCAACAATACCTCAGGACCCATGATCCCGGCCCACAGAAACAATTCAAATAAGCCCGAATCAAGGGAAACAGATTTTCTTGATGCCTAAGCATAGAAAGGACAGTCCTTATTTTTAAAGGGTCAATTCATGCTTAGAAGAGAAGTCAGTCGCACGGCAATCTTTATTTGAATATAATGGAGCAAAAAATGCTCTTTTATTAATAATCCGATGTACATTAAATATCTTTGCAGCTGTTACATGAGTGTTAGGTATCTGGCAAGTAAATGTATGCACACTTCCACATCTGATAGATTTATGCTGTACACGAGTCATCCCACACGGAGCATGCCCGTTCACAAGGATACGCATGGATGTCTCGGGACATTTGTTAAAACATACTTGGTCAAACATTTTGGCTATCGGGAATCAGACACAGAGGAGCATACCAGAAAGATGAGTTCACAATAGGACCAGCTGTAGGGAAGATGGAAACTCCAGAAACCTGAAACAGAATTTATTGGGGTTCACACATGCAGCACATATATACAGTACAAGTGGGGTAACTAGAACATTCACAGCAGGAGGTCTTACAGAGCAGTGAAAACAGGAAAGGAACAAGACAGAACAAAACAAAACAACCGAACGCCAAAACCAAGGACGGGACCCCTGCCAAGATCTCACTGCAAAGGAGAGTGGATGGTGGGCTTAGCATGTGTCCAAAAATGGAGGTTTACCTGAAAGAAAAAAAGCCCTCGCAGGACTTTATTTACAGTATCTAGACATCAGTGAAGGACACATGATCTATTCAACATGTTCCCGGGTCAGGTCGAGGATACATAACCACTTTTTAGATGTCATAAAAGCACGTATCAAGAAAGAACATTTCTTTTTTCTTCTGTTTGATTCAGGACATAGGATTTGGCACAATAAATGTCTAACAACAGTGGTGGAAGTGAGATTAAGCAAATCTGTCCAGTTCTATCCAGGCAGGCCTGGTGAATGTCAAGGGCAAGGAAGGAGTTTCCTTCTTGGACACCTACTTGGGTGTGGGAGGGGAGACACTTCATAGCTTCAAACGAGCTTATTTTTGTTCGCACAGCATACATTAGTCAACTTACTGTACATTCTCCCCGAAGGAGCAATACCCATAGGAAGCGGCAGATTCTCTGCACGGTGGGTCCTGTTCTGAGTCAATACAAATGCAGAAAGAAACCCTTCGTGTACTGACGTGAGGTTGAGCTTGCTAAGTCTTTCCTTCCCTCGGACACGTGGGCGATGCTGACCCACAAACCTACAGGACTCAATTTGGTGTGGCCTGGGTCCGTGCTGTGGGAGGCCACACAGCGGTCGGGGCTTCGGGGCGAAGAGTCTGCTCGGCAGCCTTGGTAGATTTCCACGGTGTAAATCCTCCCCTCCACCCCCACCGGCTGATTCCAAGCTATGAATGTGACGTCACTGAATGTGGAGTTGGGAAGATGTGTGCAACAGTCTACAGCATCTCTACCATCCAGAGACCACAGTGTCCATCACCCCAAGGACACGGGTGATGCTAACGTGTGGTAAAATAATTAGAAAGCGATGACTTTCGCATATTTATTATTGTAAGTTTACATAGTCTAATGTTTAGTATAATGGCTGTGTTTCCCAACTGGCTCACAAAATGCCCGAAAGGACTGCCTCTGGGGAACGGGTTTGAGTCTGCTCCCGCACATCGCTGGCTTTCGGGGCCCCCATCCCCGTGAGCAGGCTCCGCCAGTCACTCTACACCCCTGCTTCTAGGGTGGTCTGCTAGGCTGGTGTTAAGCCCTGTCGGAGTCTGAACAGAGGGCCGAGGGCTGCTTTCTCCTCCTCCTAGTTTTGGGCACTCTTGGCTCTAAGGGGAGTCTGACTGGCAGGGTAGGCAGGGAGCGGGCAGCCTCTGCAATGTCAGCATTTAAATCGGAATAGAAAGCCCCCAGCCTTTGGCACCGAGCAGACCCTCTGCAGGCCCGGAGCAGTGCCCCTACCTCCCAGGGGTCAATGAATTCCGAGAGCCTTGCTGCGGGCTACCTCGTCCTTCTTTTGGGAGTCCAATGCTAAGGTCTCAGACTTCTGCCCCAGAAATGGGCCTCTTTCGGGTCCCATGCCAATGGTGGCCATCTCATCACGCACGGGAGGGAGAAGCAGCTAGAAATCTCTGGTTCACGGAGCTGTGTCAACACCCACAGTCTGGAGCTTAGACTCCCCGCACCCACTGCCATTCAACACCTTCTTCACCCTTTGGGCCTCCACCAGAGGAATGGATGGGCGCACCCTTCAGTCCCAAGTGTGCCAGGAAAGCTCGGCCTGGCCTCTGTGCACGGCTGGAGTCAAGAGGTGACCAGAGGAGGCAAGGAGGAAGAAGAATAGATGGAAAAGAAAGGAAGTGAGTGTGTACGGCCGCGGGGAGGTAAGGAGGAGAGGGTTTGTGGGTGAAAGAGGAAATCGGGGCTCCCAGAGGGGAGGGGGTCCCCACCAATTAATTACTCTCTCTGCTCTGCTTCCCCTCAGGCCCCAGAGCCCCAAAGGTCCTTGTGCCTTCAAGACGCTTGGCAACAGCTCTGCACTGGTTTTGAACTGAAATCCAAAAAGCTCAGGCCACTAACGGTCAGAACCTGTTTTCTGGGGAGCTTATCTGCCGAGGAGAGAGGGGGCAAAGCGTCTGCAGCCTATCTGCAAAGACAGTGGACGCCAGTCTTCAGAATCAGAAAGGAAACAGCTCGGGAAGCTGAGGCCAGGGCACAGGGCTGCCGCTGAGGGGGGCGCTGACTTCGCTCTGGGCCAGACCTCCCAGCCCCCACCTCTCGTCTCGGGCCATGGAAAGAACTCCGGGACTTTAAAAGCCAGCGTCTCTACGGAGAAGGGGCGATCTCTGTGGCTGCTACCTTCCCTTGAGTGACACCTCAGTGCGACTTCATGCCCAGGCACTCAACGCAACAGCATGTGTGCCTTCGTCTCTCTCATTTCCCAAGGATTAGTTAGCAGTCCCTCCAACAAAGGCCCAGAAACTGAGGGGCCTTCTCCTCCCGTCACAGACAGTCCCAATGCCTGAGTAGTTTCTCGACTGCCCACCGTAGGCTAGGGCTTCTTTTAAATTTGGGAAAACAACACTTGGTGTTTATAGGGCAGGGGCTTCCATATGAGACCCCATAGCCGCTGTTTTCTCTTTCACGCCCATTTCCTCTGCCTTCACTCAAGTCCCTAAAGCGTTCACTAGCGGCTTATAACCCAGCACAGGGAAGAGCTCCATCAGTATGTACTGAATAATCACATGAAAGGACAAGAGACCAGGCAATGCTCTCGCCACCTCTTTGCCCCACCCAGCCTCGCCGGCCTTAAACAAGGGCCTAGACAGATCCACGAACCGTATCCTTGTAACTCAGAATTCTGGGATTACTGAGATCTAGGTATTGTCGGAGAAAGAGCCAAGAAGGCTCTGGCAAAGCTGTGTCTGGTTGGTGGGATGCTGCTGATAGGAGGGATGGAGCAAGAGAACATCACACGGAGAACTGGCACTCCATACCCGGGACAATAAAGGGACACATATGTCTAGGAGACACTGAGAATTTTCTTTTGTCTACGTCATACATACTGCGAGGAAAGCTTTTCTCAAAACATACATTGTTTGGCAGAAGCGAAAACCGTAAGAAATGTATAGTTCATCTGAGTGCCCTGTGGTGTAGAGTTCTTTCTGTTGTTGCCACATAACTTGTGTTTCTGTAGCTTTGGTCACAGAACTAAGTTCAGCATGACATGGGGGTTAGAGGAAAACCAAATATACACCAATATGAACCTTACCAACCGACCACTTGTCTTTCTAGGATACCAGGTAAAAGCCAAAATCAGACATCTCTGACTTCAGAGCCTTTAGTGCATTGAACAGATAAGGGCCATTTTGATATTAAATAGAAAAGACTGGAGACTGTCATATTCTATTTTGGTTGGCAGAGGGAATCAAAAGGTATGCCCACGAAATGACTCTGAAATGATCCCAGGGTTTAGAAAGGCTCCAGTGTGCCCTTCACTGGAACCTTCTCTGCGGTATCTTGCACTGTCTCCGACACTACCTTTCTTTCCCCACCTCTCCCATGATCTCTAAAGACATCCAGAGAAGCAGCGAAGCAGGTTTTGGTGCATACTTGCAGTCTGCTTTGGTGAGATTTGTAAATGAAGGTGCATTTGCCAACTTAGGGGTATCAATTCAAGACTCAGTTTCTGCAGCCCTAGGTCTTCCTATTTCAAGAACAAACGGGAGAAAAGAGGACAGCTACAGGGACAGCCTTTGGGAGAGCATGGTGACCAGAGAGTTTTCTAACCGTGTCCATGGCGGGGGTGGGTCCCTTTCCTGAACAGGCAATGATAACCATCAAACCAGCACTGAGTGGAGATAATGTTCAGGATCCTAAGAAGCGGGCAGCACACACACAATATAGGAACTATGTTTTCTGGCCTATTCCTAGGGGCTTCCCAAACAACCTGCCTACTTGGTAATTTGTCCGTTCCTAGACTAAACCTATTTGGTGCTTGCGAAGATGAGTCCAGCATGAAGGAGGCGGCTAGGGCCCATCTATCTTCTCTCCCAGGGTCACTACTCTGGGTGTAAGGTGATCCCCGGCCTCTGGGTTTGGCATTCTGGATTGATTCCAAAGAGCTAGGAGGACATTTTGGATAGAAAAGGAGTCAGAAATACAGGAGCAAGTGGAACGGTTTCCTAGGCTTCCCTTTTGGCACATACTCTCGTTTTTCTTCTTTTGTGGATGAAACGAGATGTTGGTCACAGGTCCCGGCGCCAGCAGGCTGCTCCGTGGACAGAGCTGAGTTCCTGTGTAATCTCACGGCTCTATCTTAAGCTGGCTAACCCCACAACAAGCCAGACAGGCCCTGCCACATACTTCGGGGACAACCTGAGCTCTCTCAGAGAAAATCAAGGTGATGGGAACAATGCAAAGGAGGCAGAGAAAACTGCGTGGAAGGTGGAAAAGGTGGTGACCAAGAAGGTTTGTGACCACAGACTGTCCAGGAGATTAGAATAGATCCCTCTTGGGCCACCTGCGAGGCTTGGATCAAGTGACGGGAAGGCCAAGAAAGGCCCTTGTGAAGGGGATGTATGGTGTCAGGTCTCACAAAGTGGGGTTCTGCTCATTTAATCTCATTCTGACCCAGCCAATGTTCAAATAAAACTCTGCATCTGCTAAGCTCTGCAGCTTGGGAGACTTTGTACATTTAGTGCTACAACAGACATGTGAGACATTTATGATAGTGGACTTTGCTTACCGGACCATCTTAACTTTCAGAAAGCTAAGAAGACTAGAGACAATGACATCCATGCACATTTCTCTTGCTTCTGAATGGGCTGATGAACAAACACATCTTACTTTGGTAGTTGTGATTGTACATGCTGTGTTCAACTAAAACAGCCCTGCTCGGGTCCTCACATGCGCCTTTTTGAAGAAGATGAATCAAGGGGTAGGTAGGTAGGGAAATGAATCCACGTGGAAGAATAATATACAGGCTACCTTCCCGGGTTGTGTGAATGCTAGCTTTGTTCTCCAGGAATATTACAGAGGCAGAAGTGAGAGGCGGTTCCGTTTCTTTCCCTGCTTTGCTGGCATCAGCCCAAGAGATCTCATCTAGTCTTGTCTGATTCTCCCTCTTTCTGCCACCTTTGCAGTTTGGGGTTGGCGTTTTGCTGATGTTCTGGCCCTGGGCTGACCTCCCCAGGGAACCACCCTCTTCCTGCCAGCCTCCAACACCAGGCTGCCCCCTTTACAGACCTGAATGACTTCAAGGGGTGATCGATTCATGGCTATGTTCATGCAAGAAATGTTTCACAGAGTCAGAACTCTGCACTCTGGAGCTCCAGGAGCACCATTAGGAAGGGGAGAAGGAGGCAGAGGGCCTTTGGGGTCAGGATGGGGCTTTGAAGGGAATGGCTATTGGAAACAAAGGCTCTCCCTTCCCGGGGACCCGGGGCTGCAGCCTGCTGGAAATGCTATAATAAGTAACAAGGATAACCCTTTGACAAGACAGAGTTAAAAACAGGAATACTGTTTTAATATGGGATTTATTCCTGGCTGCTGGTCACTGCTGCAAGTCTATAAGGAGGCTTCAGATTTCAAAGAAGATGAATAAAAAGGATGAGCCTGGAGGAGGGGCAGGCCTGAGGGGTGAGAAGGTCGCAGAGCTGACAGCCCATGGGAATGTCCTGCTGACCTGTCTTCCAGGGCCAGGAGGATTCCAGAGGTAAAGCAAGCAGCCCCAAACCACCTTGTCCGCCAGAGGGCCCCTTGCTTGGACTAAGCCGGCTGGGGTTCCACTCAAGAGCTGGCAGCCGGGAGCACAAGGACTAGTGGAAGCTAGAGGAAGAAGACCCACTTCAGCGCTACCAGCTAGAAAGCCCAGTGTCAAGGGTGCGGGGGCGCCGTCCCTCAGAAAGGTGGTACCCTCAAGGCAGCATTTTGCCTTTCCAAACGCCTCTAGAGGGTGGACTTCTTCCTCATTTGCAACTTACAACAACGGAGACGACCGACCATCTCTAGACTGAACACAGTTTGGATGAAGGGCAGAATGAGGCAGGCAGACCCAGGGTTCGGAAAGTGGCTCTCTCTCTTGGAATCTGCTCCCTGGCAAGATCAAGGGTAGCTGGGGTGGGGGCGGGGAGGAGACGGGGGTAAACAGAGGCAGAAGATCTGTCTCTGATCTCTGATCTTCTAACATTCTGGCCCCCAGGCCACCATCACAGACACCAGCGCGACTCCCTCCTCAGATTTTTCAGGACTGGAACTGGGCAGAAAGCTGGTGTATGCCGTTCACTCAGATCTTTGCTGCGCAGGGCAGAGCCTTTCTCCGTCTTGTTAGCAAAGCCACCTTCCCTGTCAGGCCTCAAAAGAGCCCCACCCAGCTCCGTTTGGTGACACATGGTTTTCTTTGAAAGGCCCTGCTGTAACAGCAAGAATTCAGCTGGGTGTCCTTTTCTAAGTAAACAGGAAATATCACTCTGTTTGAAAAAAAAAAAAAAAAGAAGAATCCCTCTCCTCAGCACCAATGCAATAATATGCCAACTTGTATTTCCCGTGAATGTGAAGTCAGAAGCAGTATCTATTTCTTAGGGCAGCATAGGCTCCTCAACCTTCAGGGAGCAGGATCTCAGGGAGGCCCGGCTGCCGAGGACACTTCAACAACGCTTCCACTGACTGACTGTTGGGAGCTGGGAGCATCCCAGTTCGGAAGGGAAACAAGGCCTGGAAAACACTGCACACTCACATCTAAGGGGCAGGATGGTATGCATCTACATTTCAGTCACGGCAAGAGTTAGTGTTCTGCTATTTTACCACCTTTTGAGATCTGAAAAAAAAAAAAAAAATCTGAAGCCTTGAGTCAGTCCGGAGGGTCGACACAGGGCAGGAGAAAGAAATGCAGTATTACGGATGGCTTGTTCCCCATTACATCAGGACCTGGGTTCGTGTGTCGGGCAGGCGCAAGCCCACCAGTCCTCCACACACCAGCACAGTGGAGGCCAGCAGGATGGGGATCGATTTGGTGAAGCTGACCAGAGAGCCGAATATTAAGTTTCCAAGGACGGCCGCTGCTTTGCATAGGGCATTCAAGAAGCCAAAACCTGTCGCCCTGCAAGGGGAAGAGACACAAGACAAGGTTGACAAAGTGACTTCCCAGATGCAGCCTTAAACACAAATGTCCTCAAGGACCGCCAAGAAGAGTTTTGTATCTCATGAAGGCAAGTAATGGAATGCTTGCTAGCCCATCCGGAGGTAGAGAACCTCAGCTCTTGGTACTGGTCCTTCAGCCCTCTGCTGATTTTCTCCTCACCTCGACTGATTCTTATTCTGCCCAGAAGTTCCACTTTATCGTGAACAGAAAGAAAAAGGAAATTTCAGGGCAAAAAGTCTCTTCTCTCTTCCAGAGTTAAATTAAAAGACAGGACCATATATTTCTTAAGATTTTTTTCCCCCTCCCTCTTTCCTCATAGCTCCATTAACGTGTGAGGTTTTAAATAACTAAAATCATGGAATTTTCAGACCAAATCAGGGATGACTGGCTTGTGTTCCTCATCTTTCGGGTGCCGTAGAGGTGAATTATCATGCTCTCTCCACACATGTTTTGGGAGTAGGCAGACACCGAATGCTGAGCGGGGGGGCCACCAATGAGCTAACAGCACTTCCTCCATCCTCATCAGAGTTCTGTGTGGAAAATCACGTCCAGGAAAATATTACTGGCGAGAATCCGGTCATCGGCCTAGAGAAGCTCTTGCTCATTCTGCTGGTATTTGAGTGTGATTTTACTCTAGGAAACTTAATTTTGCTCATGAGGGTACTGACGTCACGACATACTATGAACGTCCTCGGCCTCTATATCAGTTCACTTTCTTGTCCGTCATGGATACATCTGTGTGTTCAAGGCAAATTGAATGCAAGATCATTGTTGGACACCTTTTTCCCCCTCCAGAGGGAAGTGCATTTTATATGCTGTCAAATGTAGCATCCAGTACACCTCTTTCTTTGATTTGTAAATGGGTAAGTATGGGCTTTCCTTCGGCCAGTCACAACTGCCCATCACTCTCTGAGCTGTTCCTAGTGCCATTTTGTACAGAGTGTAGATATTCATTGTGGTTATTATCCATCCGCCCCCCTTCCCACACCACAGAGAGGAATACGCTGAGTTCCTACAGAACTCAGCCTGTGACTCTGTCCAGGGCCAGTGACTTCATTGGTCAGTACGGACCTAAAAAGAGGTAGCAAGCGCTAACTTTATTTCTGGCCAAGACACCTGGAAGGTAGAGTAGGCAGACCTCGGCCGTGTGGCAAAACTGCCAACTGTGTGGAATGTGGAAGGGGTGTAACAGAATCTCTGACAGAAAAACAGGAACTCCTTGAGAAGAGAGTAAGCTAATTTTATATGCTTCTTCTTGTTGGCTTGTTTTTAAATAAAGAGACTAGTAGTAGCAACGACCACTAGAAAGGTAAGATTTAATGTACTGACAACTATTTTCAAATGAAATTGCTGGAGGCGGGGCGCCTGGGTGGCTCAGTTGGTTAAGCGACTGCCTTTGGCTCAGGTCATGATCCTGGAGTCCCTGAATCGAGTCCCGCATCGGGCTCCCTGCTCGGTGGGGAGTCTGCTTCTCCCTCTGACCCTTCCCCCTCTCATGTGCTTGCTCTCTCTCATTCTCTCTCTCTCAAATAAATAAATAAAATCTTAAAAAAAAAAAAAAAGAAATTGCTGGAGGCTACCTGCTGGGTACCGCAGAGGACTTCAGTAGAATGACACCATCATCCACCACCTCCCCCACCTCCACGGAGATGCCATGAGGCTGAACTCCTCGTTTGTTCAGTAACACTTTTTCGAGCAGTTTTAGGTTTTCAAAAAAACTGAGTGAAAAGCAAAGAGAGTTCCCACATAAACCTTCACCCCGCACCCCTATTTTTAACATCTCAGTGTGGTACACAGGTTTATAATTGATGAACCCAATATTAGTACATTGTTATTAACTCAAATCCATAGTTTAAGTCAGGGTTCATTCTGTGTTTTGTATTCTGCGGGCTTTGATAAATGTATAAGGCCATGTATCCACCATTACAGTATCATACAGACTCATAGTTTCACTGCCCGAAAATCCCTGTGCTCCCCCTATTTATCCCTCCCCTTTCCCCAGTAACTCTGGCCACCACTGATCTTTTTACTGTCTCTAATTCTGCCTTTTCCAGAATGTCAGATAGTTGGGAGTCCTATAGTAGGTAGCCTTTCAGATTGACCTCCCTCGCTTTTTTTAAACCACATTTTAGTTTCTAGATTCTAGGCTCATAAATTACCAAATACATCTTCTGGTAGTAAGATAAACTGTATCAGTCTGGGAAAAATGGCTAGTGTGTATGGTGCTGATAAGAGGAAAACATTCTTCCGTAGGAAGAAGTCTCTCGATGCTGAAACTGCAGAATGACCCAAACAGAGTTTACAGCTGGGTTAAAATAACTGTATTTTCCCAAGCCATAACTCTGAACAGGGTATAAAATATGGGTGGCTATCTCCTTATGGTATGGACAACTTCCTGAGATTTCTGGATAGCGCTGAAGAGACACGCATTGGGAGCATCTGGTATCTGAAGCTTAAACAAAAAAACCCAAAAAACGAAAATGATCAAATCTTTATATTCTATGACTCTCCATCTTCATTTATCGAACAGAGACAGTTCCTCACATGAAAATCTGGTATGGATACGAAGCATATAGCCTCCTTAAATTAGCATTGGCATTTGAGAAAATGTGATCGTCCTTTCCTTGGATAAGTAAATTCTTTCTTCAAATACTTGTGATCTGGAGGGTTGATTTCCCATGCATCAGACACACAGCTGTGTTACCAAAATCATTCTCGAAGTAGCTCTCCCTTGCTGGTTGTCTGTTTATAAAGTAAATAAGCTTTCAGTTCATTTACTCCCTTGCTCTTACTTAAAGGCAAGCCATGAACTTCTACAGACACACAAAGTACAAGTTACCCCATGCTCATTAAGTCCTCTGAGGGTGGGGAGCTGAGAGTTTGCAGAGCTCAGCATTTCACTGACTTCTCAACAGCAGGACAAACTACTGAATTTTCTTCAGGCCAAAGATGTTCTGTGCCTTCTCTTAACCAACAAGTACCAAGGAGAAAGAATGAACTGATCTATGGTCTTTCTATAAACTCCATCCCTTGTTCCCCTACCTCTCCAGCCAGAATCCTTTGTTTTCAATTCTTGCTCAACCTACTTAAATCTTTTACATGGAAATTCTTTCCCCAAACAGTACCCTGGGACCCCGGCAGCCCCGTTCCACATTTTATCACGGTGGCCTTGTCCTGCACCATTAACTCCCTCTGAGAGCCCAGTGCTAGTGCAGGGAGCTGGCTCACTGCGGTGCTCAGGCTCCGCTGCCAGGGGCGTGGCCTCCAGAGCATCCCTTGCTGGGCTGTGGCTTCTCCAGGGCCTTCCCAATGGAGTGGGTCCCAGGGCATTTATATCACTTTTAGCTTTGGTTAGAGGGTGGGAAAAGGAAACCACTGGCACCATTCTGGATAGGGTGAGGAAAGTTTTGCCCTCACATTTGGCCTCTTTCTTAAATTTCGTTTTTCTGACTTCAATGCAGGATCAGCGGTGGCTTTTACGGGGCTCCTGGGAAGAAGCAAGGGATGCTGAATAATAGCAACAGGTAGGCCGTGCCCGGCACATGGTAGGCGCCGTGCCACTGTGAGCCATGGTTTCAAATGCTGACTGAAGGATCCGTCCCATTGATTGCTGAAATCAGGAAAACAAATTAAATGCTCATTTTGAAAAGGCCTGAAATGGGGTAGATCCAGACTCAGCTCATGGAATTTACCTTTTAAGGGGTAAAAGGGAAGCATTCTCTTTGCTTAATCTAAACTTTTGGAAAGAACTTTTTCTGGACAACTCAGTCAAATCACTCGTAGAAGTTAAAAAAGGAGGGACGCCTGGGAGGCTCAGTCGCTAAGCGTCTGCCTTCGGCTCAGGTCATGGTCCCAGGGTCCTGGGATCGAGCCCCTCGTCGGACTCCCTGCTCTGCGGGAAGCCTGCTTCTCCCTCTCCCACTCCCCCTGCTTGTGTTCCCTCTCTCGCTGTGTCTCTCTCTGTCAAATAAATAAATAAAGTCTTAAAAAAAGAAGTTAAAAAAGGAATACTAGGGACTTAGCAAGGGGCATTTTGGAAAGTACAGGCAGTCCTTAAATCAGTAATATCATAACCCCGTCTCATCTGCAGGGGAGATGTTCCAACACCCCCAGTGGACGCCTGAAACTAGAGATAGGACTGAACCCTATATATACTATGTTTTTCCTATATATACTTACTCATGATAAAGTTTACTTTATAAATTAGGCTCAGTCAGATTAACCATCACTAACAATAAAGTAGAACAATTATAACAATATAATAAAAGTTAGGTGAGTGTGGTCTCTCTCTCTCAAAATATATTATTATACTGGGCTCACTCTTTTTTTTTTTTTAAGAATTTAAGTAATATCTACACCCAATGTGGGGCCTGAACTCATGACTCAGCCGTGAGATGGAGAGTCCCAGGTCCCACCGACTGAGCCAGCCAGGTACCTCACTCTTCTCGTGATGACGTAAGACGAGGAAATGCCTACGTGAGGAGATGACGTGAGGTGAGCGACGCAGGCACTGGGACGTGCTATTAGGCTACCACTGACCTTCTAACGTTGTGTCAGGAGGAGGTTCATCTGCTTCCAGACCTGAGGGGACATGAGTCACCAAAACTGCATAAAGGAAAACCTCAGGTAAGGAGGAACTACTTTACATTGTGCTCTAGGGATTCACCCAGAAGTTGGCTCTTGAAAGCACAAAATGAATTTCATTTTTTCTCATGGAAACAGCATTACAAACGATGGCACGTTTCCCAGGTTTATCTAAAAAAGCTATTTCACCACTGGATTCATCCAAGCGACTGGACTACCATGCTAAAAGCACTAGAAACCCCTTGAATATTTGTCTACGAGGCAAAACGGCCCTTAATATGGTCCTAATTTACACATTCTTCTATGCATTTATTCATTTAATGGTCATTCATTAAGCTTTATGTGCCACGCACTACACTAGGCACCAGGGAGCC